AGAGAGGTTAAAGAGAGTGCCCAGGAAGGTTGGCTCAGTGATTTTCAGCATATCATGTGACAGTCTCAAGGGGATCTCTGTGACCGAAATTGTCACAGGGACTATCTTTGGTTCTGTTTGAATAGTGCCTACCACAATGGATACTCCTCCTAGGCACTATGGTTATTCAAATAAGTCTGAAAGTGTTAGGCTGGCTAGTTCTTGCCCACATACAGTAAACTTCCCGTAATTTGGCACCTTTAGGACCCAGGGGGTGCTGGATTATCAGATATGCCGGACTATCAGAAGGGGGGGCTATTAGGAGTCTGGGGTGCGGTAGGGGGGATGCCACCCCAGACCCCTCATAGGCCCCCCTTCTGATAGTCCAGCTCTGCCCCAGGCGTCCCGGATTCAGCCGCTGCTGGTCAGTTTCAGCAGTGGCTGGATCTGGATGCCAGTTCCGACTTACATACAGATTCAACTTAAGAACAAACCTACAGTCCCTATCTTGTACCCCGGCTCCTCTGCCCCTGGCTTCCCCATTCAGCTGCTGGTCAGTTTCAGCAGCAGCTGAATCGGGGAATCCGGGCGCAGAGCAGCTCCAGTTGTCCGGCTGCCCCGAGCACTTCCGGGTTCCCGATGGTGCCGGACCATCAGGAGTGCCGGAGCATTTGATGCCGGACCAATGGAGTTTTACTGTACTTGTATTTTAACTGAACACCATATATGGCGCTGGGAAGGAATTTCTCCCTAGGTCATATTGGCAGTGGCCTTGGCAGGGGGTTGTATTCTGTAACATGGGGTGCAGGTTGCTTGCCAGGATCCTCTGGAATCATTTCCCTGCCATCATAGGCTTCTTGGGCATTGGTGCACCTTTGTCCTCCAGTTCTCTGCCCGTGATTTGGTTGTCTGAAGACTGTAATACTTGGGTGTAATTTGGGTTTCTGGGTTGTGTTGGTGGTGCGATGTGATAGTGTAAACAGTTAACTGATGAACCCAGGTTCATCAATTAACCTTCATGGTTACAACAGCTCCTTCTCTGTGCTGCTGCCTCTGTATTGGCAACAACAGTGTGGGGGAGGGAGGGTGTGGTGTTGGTGGGAGCCGGTGCTTGTGGGGATACAGAGGCGGCAGCAGCATGAGGGGAGGGGGCAGGATGCATGTGGGGAGCCAAGCTAGCTCACCGCATGCACTGGCTCACAGGGAACAGGCTGAAAATTTCAGCAGTTACACATTTGCCTGAGTACACTCATTTTAACATCCCTAGTTGTTGGTCTGTGATGTTCAGGTGAAATTATCTGGTGATGCCTTCTGGCCTTAAAATCTAAGACTTTTGAGAGATGTTATTGATCTTAATTGTACATAATGTCAGTCACCCGTCTGTGCAACAATTTGATTCTACCATGCATATTATTTCAGGCACACTTAGATTGACCCCTCTATCATTACTAGTAGGGCCCTACCAAATTCATGGTGTATTTTGGTCAATTACATGGTCGTAGGATTTTAAAAATGATACATTTTAGTCATTTCAGATATCTTAATCTGAAATTTCACAGTGTTATAATTGTAGGGGTCCTGACTCAAAAAGTTGTGTAAGGGTCACAACATTATTGTCAGGGGGATTGTGGTACTGTTACCCATCTGCGTGGCTTCTGGTGACAACATTGCCTTGAGAGATGGGATGTGATGATAGCTGGCAAGGTCTCCTCCTCGGAAGGCAGAGCTACCACCAGCAGCAGCACAGAAGTAAGGATGGTATGGTATTGTCACCCTTATTTCTGCACTGCTGCCTGCAGAGCTGGGATCTTAGCACCTCCCAGTCTATCCTGGAACCCAGCTCTGAGAGCAGTAATATAGAAGTTAGTGACGTGGTTATAGTATTGCCACCATTACTTCTGCACTGCTGCTTATAGGGTGCTGCCTTCAGAGCTGGACATCTGGCTAGTATTACAACCACTGTTCTCTGGTTTCCCAGCTCAGAAGGAAGTGCGTAAGTAAAGGTGGCAAAACTGTGGCCCTCCTAAAATAACCTTGTGATTCTACCTGCAGCTCTCTTTTTGGGTCAGGACCCCAATTTAAGAAATGCTTGTCTTCCCTATGAAATCTGTACAGCATAGGGTAAAAAACACACAATGTCAGATTTTATGGCGGGGCAGGGGAGGGCACCAGATTTCAGTCTGACTTGTTTTGCATGGCTGCGAATTATATAGGGCCCTAGTTATCAGGTTTCTGCAATGTTGCTCCACTTGCTGTTCATAGAAAGAAAGCTATAGCAAAACTTATGGCACATCATACAATTCTGTTACATCTACTTGATTAATCTACCTCATGGTTGTCTGTCCTCACAGCATCCGTTGTAGATAAGTTACTGGGTCAAGGGTTTATTATAGAGGACACAAGGCAAGCTTCATGATCTGCAGAGCAAGTGACAAATGACTATTTTACCTCTGACCCTGCTCAGCAGCAACCCATATTTTATGTATGATAAAGGCAATGCAGCCTTCTTTGTTGGTTTTATACCAGACAGGAAATCTATGCTGCTGTAGCATGTTAGCGGTGTTTCAGAGACAGTCCAGTTAATAGTATATCTAACTAATAGATGGCATTTAGGTATAAGGTTTGAGATGGATGATGTATCTTTAATGCAGTCTCATGAGATTCCACTGGAAAGGAGAGGAAATTATAAGGGGAATGAAATAATGAGAACTAATTATGATTTAACAGTAAAATGATCACTATTTTGTAATAAGTTAATAATGCACAACAAATAAGAGGAGAGAAATAAAATACAGGTTCTGCAAACTTCTGAAATGTCCCCAAGAACAAGATATTTCTGAAATCAAAAACTGGGAAGCACTCTCTCTCTGTTTTTAAATTATTGGCTTCCAATAGTACATTAATAACATAACAGAAATCTTTCACATCACTTGCTCCCTCCTCCTCTTCCCATAGGGAGAAGCATGTGCTGTGAAGTGCTTTGTTGTGGTGGCTGCGGTTTTGTGTGTGTGTGTGATGGTGTTTTCTTTTTAATTCCCCACCCCCCCAAAAAAAAACAAACACTGGGTGTCTCGAGTGTTAATGTTGCAGTGAGAGCATAGATTCCACTAGAGCTGCATTTATTGTTCTAAAAAAACCTTAAACAACAAATGGTCCTGTAGCACCTTAAACTAGCCAAAAATATAGATACAGGTTGTACCTCCAGAAACCAGCATTCTCTGGTCCAGCAACTCCATAGATGCTGTTGACCAGGAGCCTAAAGGCAGGAGGGCCAGCTGGAGCCAGGGCAATAGGGTCAGCAGCCCAGCTGGGGGAAGCGCGAGACCGGAGCTGGAGCCCCCAGCATCTCCTGGCAGCCCATGGAAGCACAGGGCTGGGCCAGAGTCCCCTAGCAGCATGGGTTGGTGCAGGGCTGGAGCCCTGCAGCAGTCCCCCAGAGCATGGGGCTGTGGTCAGAGTCCTGCAGCAGGAGCCGGAGCCTCTGCTGCCCAGGAAGCTAGCAGCAGCTGGACAAGCAACCCAGCCAGGGTGGGGGAGGGTGAGACAGGATGCCTGCTGGGGCAACCTGCCAGCAGCAGGCACTGGGCTTGGGTGGCAGGAGACCTCCTCTGGTCCAGCAAATTCTCTTGTTACGGACTGATTAGGTCCTGATGGTGCGGGACTATGGCGGTCCAACATGTAATATCATGAACTTTCACGGGTACAACCCACTTCAGATGGCAAATATTATTTACTATTAATGTTACTTGTCATCTGAAGAAGTGGGTTGTACTCACGAAAGCTCATGATACTATCTGTATTTTTGGTTAATCTCTAAGGCATGGGTTCCCAAACTGGGGGGAATGAAGACATTTTTGGGGGGCACGAGGCAACCCATTCTCCCCCCTCCCCCCAAGTTTTGCTGCTATTTTTGTTTTTTGATCCCAGTCAGTTCCTTTTCCCCCCCTCTTTTCTCAACACGTTTTGATGCTATTGGGTGGAGGAGGGCGGGCATGAGGGTTTCTCAAAAAGGGGGTGTGAGGCTATTGGGGGAGGGATAGCTCAGTGGTTTGAGCATTTGGCCTGCTTAAACCCAGGGTTGTGAGTTCAATCCTTGTGGAGGCCATTTAGGGATTTGGGGCAAAAATTTATCAGGGATGGTACTTGGTCCTGCTATGAAGGCAGGGGACTGGACTCGATGACCTTGCAAGGTCCCTTCCAGTTCTAGGAGATAGGCAATCTCCATTATAAAAAAAGTTTGGAAACCATTGCTCTAAGGTGCTACAGGACTGTTTCTTGTTTTTAAAGGGATTTTTTTTTTTTTAGTTACAGACTAAAATGGCTACCCCCAGAGACATTTATTGTTCTGTTAAGTGCAACGAGTAAAACATGCAAACTCATGAGGCTGAATTGAGGGAGAGGAAAGCTGAGTATAAGAAGTTTGTTTGTTTTTGTTTTTTTCCTCCTAATCACATTTTATGCAGCTGCTAGTTAAAGATTAAATTGCATGTATTGGGCAAGAGACAGAAAGGTAATTTTTTAAAAAATATTGATTTAACATTATTTTCTTTAGGGATCTGAGATGTCCAAAAAGAAATCTAAGAAGTCTAAGCAAAAGGAGCGAAGTTCAGATGATGTGGATAATAAAGTAAGGAAAATATTCTTATGAAAATAACACATTTAAAGCAGCATTTGAATTGCTTAACAGATGTTAATAATCAGAAGTAATAAAACAGTTACTGAAAGGAAAGATAGGGTCATAAGGGCAGTAATTAGAATAATAGAATATTAGAACTGGAAGGGACCTCAAGAGGTCATGAAGTCCAGTCCCCTGTGTTTAGGCAGCTACGAGTAAAACATGCAAACTCATGAGGCTGAATTGAGGGAGAGGAAAGCTGAGTATAAGAAGTTTGTTTGTTTTTGTTTTTTTCCTCCTAATCACATTTTATGCAGCTGCTAGTTAAAGATTAAATTGCATGTATTGGGCAAGAGACAGAAAGGTAATTTTTTAAAAAATATTGATTTAACATTATTTTCTTTAGGGATCTGAGATGTCCAAAAAGAAATCTAAGAAGTCTAAGCAAAAGGAGCGAAGTTCAGATGATGTGGATAATAAAGTAAGGAAAATATTCTTATGAAAATAACACATTTAAAGCAGCATTTGAATTGCTTAACAGATGTTAATAATCAGAAGTAATAAAACAGTTACTGAAAGGAAAGATAGGGTCATAAGGGCAGTAATTAGAATAATAGACTATTAGAACTCGAAGGGACCTCAAGAGGTCATGAAGTCCAGTCCCCTGCCCTGACAGTAGAACCAAGCACCATCTAGATTGGGGTGTGCAATCATTTTTAAAAGGGGGCCACTTCAGAAATTTATTTTTAAAGAAAATTTTTTAAACAGCTGGCAGTTATCTCTTGGTGCCTAGTGGGAGGGAGACCTGGTGCACTCTCCCTGCCCCCAGGCCAATCAAGGTCTGGGGGTGGGCCGTGCGCGTAGCTGCCACACGTTCTTGCAGGGCAAAGAGACTAGAGACATGCCAGCTGTTTCAAAACTGCCAGTGTCTCTCTAGTGGCTGCATACCCCTGACAGTGCAGGGAAAGGGTGCAAGAGACTTTGTGCATTCCCTGCCCTCAGGCCCTGATTGACAATGCTCTCCCCACTCCCCTGCCAAAGGCGCATGGCAGCTAGAGATAAAAGCTGGCTGTTTGAAAACCTGGTGTGCTCTTGCAGGGGTGAGGAGACTTTGTGTGCTCTCCCACCCCCAGGCCCTGATTAGCCTGGGAGTGTGAGAGCAGCAGGGCGGCTGCCGGCCGGATCCGCTAGATCCCGTGGAGGACCCTTTGTCCACCCTTGAGCTGATCATCCCTGACATGCCTGTCTAACCTGCTCTTAAATATCTCCAGTGATGGAGATTCCACAACTTCCCTAGGCAATTTATTTCAGCGTTTTAACCACCCTGACAATTAGGAAGTTTTTCCTACTATCCAACCTAAACCTTCCCTGTTACAATTTAAGCCCATTGCTCATTGTCCTATCCTCAGAGGCCAAGGAGAACAATTTTTCTCCCTCCTTTCTTGTAACACTCTCTTAGATACTAGAAAACTGATATCATGTCCCCTCTCAGTCTTCTCTTTTCTAAACCCAAAAAGCACAATTCTTTCAGTCGTCCCTCATAAGTCATGTTTTCTAAACCTTTAATCATTTTTGTTGCTCTTCTCTGGACCTTCTCCAATTTCTCCACATCTTTCTTGAAATGTGGTGCTCAGAGTTGAACACAATACTCCAACTGAGGCCTAATTAACACAGAGTAGAACAGAAGAAGTACTTCTCCTGTCTTGCTCATAACATTCCTATTAATGCATCCCTGAATCATGTTGTTTTTTGTTGTGATGGTTGGTGTGGTTGGTTTTTGTTTTTGTTTTCAGCAACAGTGTCACACTCATATTTAGCTTGAAAGAGTGAATCATTGAAGTTCTGCTAAGAAGTTCCTCTAAGTTTTTTACCTATACTGCTCACAGCCTTCCATAGACAGTTTCTATGGAAGGCTGTGAGCAGTATAGGTACTGAACTTATCAGAAAAGCTTTTCTCTTAGACTCTGTCTAGACTGCAAGCTTCTTTTGGAATAAGCTTTTCTGGAAAAGCTGATTTCAAATGAGCATCTATACACAAAAAGTGCAGCAAAATAGCAATTTGCTATTTCCAAAGATAGCATCCATACTGACTGGACACTCTCGCATTTAAGGCCACCTGAAACCAGTTCAGGCAGGGCATTAGGTCAGCAGTTGCTTCTAGGTGCTGTTGCCTAAGGCTTTCTGGGTATGTCTACACTACAGCACTAATTCGAACTAAGCTAATTCGAACTAGTGCATCTAGACCTAAAAACTAGTTTGAATTAGCGTTTTGCTAATTCGAACTAGCATGTCCACATTGAGTGGTAGAGATGTAGCCGTGTTAGTCTGGGGTAGCTGAAGCAAAATGCAGGACAATGTAGCACTTTAAAGACTAACAAGATGGTTTATTAGATGATGAGCTTTCGTGGGCCAGACCCACTTCCTCAGATCAAAAATCTGGTTAAAATGGCCTTCAGAGCTTTCTTCTGCAAGAGAGCATCCACACTGCCATGGACGCTCTCTCGGCCATCAGCCCAGCTGCACTTGCCACAGGCTGCCATCTGGGCGGGGTGTGGCAATCGGGGGGCTGCAGGAGAGCTTCCACCCCAAGGAGCCCACAGAGCCACCCCAGTCTTCCCCATTAGGGGCTCGTACCCCATTTCTCCCTTGCCTCCTTCCACTTATCCCTCCCTAGCCCCCCTTCCTGATGTATAAAATAAAGGACACAAGTGTTCAAAAATAGAAACTCTCTTTATTGAACAAAACTCGGGGAGACTGGGAAAAGGAGGTGGGAGAGTGGAAGAGAGAGGGTGGGAGAGGGGAGGGCAACTAAAATGATCAGGGGTTTGGAACAGGTCCCACATGAAGAGAGGCTAAAGAGACTGGGACTTTTCAGCTTAGAAAAGAGGAGACTGAGAGGGGATATGATAGAGGTCTGTAAAAGCATGAGTGGTGTGGAGAGGGTGCATAAAGAAAAGTTATTCATTAGTTCCCATAATAGAAGGACTAGAGGACACCAAAGGAAAGGAATGGGTAGCAGGCTTCAAACTAATAACAGAAAGTTCTTCTTCACAAAGCAAATAGTCAACCTGTGGAACTCCTTGCTGCAGGAGGCTGTGAAGGCTAGAACTATAAAAGAGTTTAAAGAGAAGTGAGATAAAGTCATGGAGGTTGGGTCCATGGAGTAGTATTAGCTAAGGGGTAGAAATGGTGTCCCTGGCCTCTGTTTGTGGAAGGCTGGAGATGGATGGCACGAGACAAATGG